CCACACGTTTGTAATCTTCGCAAAAGTCAAACAATAGATTGAGCGGTACGCAAAAATTAAAGTATCTTTCCGATATGGTTGATGAAATGTCCCATCCTGCGTTTCGCAAAATTAGCGCCTTGTCATACGTCAGCGATACATAATTTTTAATTGTACTAGTTATTCCAACGTTTCTGTTGCGATCAATCTCCATACCATTGAGTTCGTATCGAATTTCATCAAACATAAATGCTACGCAATTGTTTCCAAGAGTTGTCACTGATTCATTATTTTTCTTTTTTGTCGTCAATTTTCTTTTGACATAGAGAAAGCTTTCGCATGGCAAGGTATAAAATCATTGGTATGCTGTGCGATTATACTCGATGTATGTCTTTTCTAGATATCGTACCAATTCCTTCGGTGATCGAAGATTGCCAAAACTATCAAAATAAATAGCTCGATCCCCCCCTCTTTGCATACCCAATGAGTATCTGATCCCTCAGCATTATCCAAATTTAAGATATCGCTCTCGTTTCGATGTACTCCTGTAGGTAAGATAGTACGCATAAAAACACCTCTAAAATACGGAATGCGCATACGCGTTGCCAATTGTTGTAATTGTACGTTGATAGCTTTAGGAATTTTTAACGTCTCTTTGACGTTTTTTTTTTTCTTGAAGAGGTACCTCGTCCACGCTTGTACGGAGCGAGATAAAGTCCATGATCTTCCATAGCACGATTATTTCGACGATGTTTCAATTCTTCTTTGTTGACGTTGCGCAGCTTTGTTATCATTCACTATCTTGGCGACTCCCGCCATTCCACCAACCAATGAATCGAGAAACTCCCAACAATGACAGGATAGGTAGGATACCACCGCGTTTCGCTACCGGAAGTATTCTTTCATTGCTTTCTTCATCGGCTTCTTCTTCTTCATTTTCAAACCCATGCCAATTTTTGTCTTAGCCTTCATGGCCGCCTAGACAGCTGCGGCGGCAGCTCTTTCACCCAGAGTCGAATCTTTCGCGGTGATGCGTTTTCGCGCTTTCACGGCGAGTATATTGTCGGCTACGTGTCGTTTAGCGAGATCGTTGCTTTGTAAGTAAGCTATATCGTGTTCGCGGCACGCAGCATCCAATATATTAATTCCTCGATCGCCTCTAACCAACCGCTTTTCTAAATGCGTTCTAGGACCGCAAAATTGATATCCGGGGATATGCAATTCGAAAGGAAACGCATTTATCGCTCGATTTAACAGACCTCTGCCTCTCGCTGACATTCGTCACAATTCTTTATCAACGATGCTGGACCGTCGATATGTGTGCGTTGCTACGATTGGTTATAATGTTTGACGCAGCGACGATAGGTTCGAACCTCCAAATCCGTCTTTATATGCTCGGGCAGCTTGTCCCACAAGAGATCTATGCAGTTTTGAAATTCTCGTAGCAAAACAACTTTCGGTATATATTATAACTGTTCGGATGTTATATTATAAATATCGCAGTTATCTGACACGATAAGAAACATTTTGATTACTGAGCGGTTTCGCTTTGTACTCCTCTATAAATAGATCCGCTTTTTCTATACCATTTTCAGTTATTGTCGTTGTAAGGAGACAAAATGCAATTCGTGTGACAATCGCAGACGATCAGAGTGATTAATTTAGACGACAAAGTACAACTTGAAAGGAAAATACACAAACATGGAAACATGCTACCCAGTTCTATACGTGGTATCATATGTGGGCTGTCAAATTGTGGCAAAATAAACGTGTTGATAAGTTTGCTGGAGAGTCCGCACGGTGTGCGCTTTGAAAACGTGTACATAATTCTAAATCGCTGCAGCAACCGAAATATCGATACTTGGAAAATTTACTGACATCGATAGAAGAAATTGGTTATTTTACATTCTCCAATAATAGCGACGTCATTCCACCGAGCGAAGCGCTTCCGAATTCCATCTTTATCTTTAATGACGTGGCGTGCGACAAGCAAGATATAGTAAGAGAGTACTTTGCAATGGGCCGTCACGCTGATTGCTTCTATCTCTGTCAGACGTATGCAAAGATACTCAAGTACTTTATACGCGACAACGCAAATCTGTTGATTCTATTTAAACAAGATAATATCAATCTAAAACATGTATACAACGATCACGTAAACAACGATCACTGACATGTCCTACGAGGATTTCTGTGAATTGTGTCGCAGTTGTTGACAACAAAAATATGGTTTCGTGGTGATAGACAAAGACACGCTTGTTAATGAACGATACAGAAAAGAATTTAACGATTTTGCAATACTATAATGTTATTAGTTGTTATTGATACGTCCACTAGACAACGTTTACGAACAAGGATAATAACGAGGAGATTAGAGATCGCGAGAAGATAATAAAGCAGATTGCGAAAACGAGCGATTCAATTCGCAAGAAGTATCGCGCCTTAAAAACGGGAGAAGGATTACTTTGGAAAGACAGTTCAAACCGATTATCGAATCTTTGATTCAAATTGTTGAAAATACTGGCGGTGAAGAACCTAACTATAAGATGGAGTCTAACGAGACAAAACGAAAACGGTCGCAAAATTTAGATGATTCACTGATAACTTCTACTCCACGAAAATGATCAAACGCTTTATCGAACGTATCAGTCATGATCTCTGTTTAATCTCCGATTAATGTCACACATCATGTAACACCATATGAACAGCCTTCGAACAATATTTTACCTGTCGAAGATGTTTTCGAAACTACCAACGAGTCACTGGTGATGTCTGTTCGACGTCAGTTACAAACCTCGGAAGGTCTAGAAACGTTGCAAAATCATTTCGGTCCACTAAAACAAAAGTACATGGGAGCTGTTTTAACCGGAAACAAGGATATAGATAACGTTTACGTTATCCCAAATAAGAAGGGAGAGTGTGCGTCATGACGGGGCCCGACCACGAACCAGTCGTGAAAACTCGTAATTATTTTTGCGAAAAAATACCACCTCACCCAGGAATCGAACCTGGATGTCCTGTTTACCGAGCAGGCATCTTATCCTTTCGACTACCGAGGCATGTTTATTTCACCAACGATGGCATGATACTTGATGATAAGTGTTTCGATGTAAGCAAAGATGACAATACATTTATAAACGGAATAAGATACTTGGGAACGGAAGGTCTTTATGAGTTAATTTTTAAAAAAGTACCTGACGATGAATTGTACACTGAAGAAGATAAACAGAAATACAAAGATATTTTGCTATTGACAAACGCGCATAAGCATAATCATAATATGCTTAATTCAGTTATGGGTAATAAAGGATACAAATACAAGTATGTAATCGCACTCCTTCTAAAAAGTCGGAAGAGGTATACCACGTGTCATGACACTAAACGATAATGCCATCGATTACGTGCATTGGGATGATCCAAATAAACTTGTAGATCGTCTCCGATTACTCAAGGCGCCAAGCTGGTCACAACGCTCACGACAACGAGATACAGTCAATTATTGAAGAACTTGTTGAAGCTGATCTTATTATAATTGAACTGCGTGTCAAGGAAATGAGTCATTTAACAAGCGTCGAAATGCCAATCAACAAGTTTGAGACATCACTCGGAAGAAGCGGAGCGGAACCATACTACCAATGGAGTGGATTAGTCAGAAATTACGTGCGCGATAACGCTCTTTGCGTGATCGCAGCCGACTTCGACGCAAAGTCACGTAAAATTCGACGTGTAGCGTTACCGGTAGATGATGGCGACGTTGTAAACAAACGGTACGTGGAACATAGTGTACAAATTTTGAAGAATCGACAGAACGAAATCGAGAAGAAATTGATTGCGTTCCAAAAGGACGTGCAAATTATTTTAAACGAGCTTCGACAAATGATGATTACTCATCGCGCCGAGAGTATGTAGATAAGAATATACACCAAATTTTGTGTTATTTGCGTGTCATGATGTTCGAGAAGAAGAAAAATTCTGAGAAGCAGCAGCTAGTGGAGGAACTGCACGCTCTGGCGAGAAGAAATTTTCCACGAAGACGTATTATAGTACGCGAGTACGATGACCTATGGCAGGCAGATGTAGTCAAGATGCGACCTTATACGCGATTCAACAAAGGGTTACCACTATCCTCACTATTATCGATGTGCTGAGCAAGTACGCATGGGCCGTACCGCTCAAGACCAAGAGTGGAAACGAAGTTGCAAGAGCGATCGAAAAGATAATTCGAGACGATGGAAGATGTTTGAAAAATTTGCAGACTGACAGAGCAAAGGAATTTTATAATGCAAATGTACAAAAAGTCATAAAAAGGCACGATATTAATCATTATTCGATATATTCTGTAATGAAAGCATCAATCATCAAATGGTTCAATTGCACGTTGAAAAATGACATGTGGAAGATGTTTACTCATAATGGCAATTATAGATGACTCGACTTGTTACGTCTTGTCTCGTCTCGGCGTATAATACGCGAAAGCATCGAACTATCGGTATGTGACCCATCGATGTTACCCCCGCAGATAAAACTCCTGACCACAATATATAATCGCATAAAAATTGCTGCACCTGCACGATTCAAAGTAGGTGATTCGGTACGTGTGGATAAATTCAAGACAATATTTGAAAAAGGTTATACGCCAAATTGGACCACGGAAGTGTTTAAGATCAAAGTTCAGAAAACTAATCCCGTGACATATCTATTGCAAGATTCATGTGGAAAATCAATCGCTGGAGAATTCTACGAATACGAATTGCATCGCGTTATAAACCCCGACGTGTATCTCGTTGAAAAAGTATTAGGCAAAAGGGGGAACGAGGTTTATGTTAAATGGTTAGGATTTGATAATTCGCACAATTCATGGCTACACAAAAGTAACGTGTTGTAAAATAAATTTAATACAAGTTTCTTTATACATGTATTATAATTTATTATAGAAGTAAATGAATTTTTATTTACAATATATAAATATATTATACAAAACAAATGAGTTTTTTATTTACAAGATATATATTATAACGATATTTTATAATGTCCCTATGGCAATGTGTCGATAAAGTCGGGTACAATGTATCGCTTATCATCGTACGGACTTAGAGCAATTTTTGTTTCGGATATCGTACTATTTATCGTACTTAATGCAATTTTAATCTTATACAAGCAAGACTGCTGTCATGTCATTTCAGTCTCGTCTCGCAAACACTGTGTGTAATCATCAAATGTTATTGATTTTGTTATTACATTACTCTTGATGCCTTTGACTTTTTTCATATCATTTTTTCCATCAACACGCAAGGCGTACATTTTTGCTCTAAGCCCTACGAATTCAGTCATAATTGTACCATTGTTTTTGTCCTTCAAACTTGGTATCAAACTTGGTATCTTTTTATTGAGTGAGTGGAATACCGTATACATTATCAACCGCATAATCACTCGTGTCGAATCTTTTAATATCACGTTTCATGATATCGTATACGTCGTCGCACTCGATGTGATAAATTAAACTGTCGGTATCCGTGTACATTATTTTACATTTCTCACCATACAATGGTGACATGTAATCGTAATGAAATTCATACAAACATGTCTTTGATATGTCGAGAATGCATATACCTACATAGATTGGTTTGTCGAACTTCACCTCGAGTTTACGCAATTCGATTGCGTAACGATCAAGTTCTCTGAAAAAACGCTTCGACTGTGGAAATTTGGTTTCGCAATCATTGTCTCCGCGCCATATCTTCCCTCCCATTTTGTTAAAAGTTTAACATTGACGTGATTGCGCACATTCTCCATGGTTTTGCCAAAGACCATGTTGTTCATCAATTTATATAAATTTTTCTCGAAATCATTTTTAGCGAATGTTCTAAATTTCGTATTGAGTTCGATATACTCCCGGAGCCATGGAAATTGCGAAAATTGCAATACGCGATGTATTTTTGTAACGCGAAGACTGTGACGAATACAGGTTGCGATAATGTATGACGTAACGTTTCTTATCGTACAAGGTTGCGAGGAGTTTGTCCTGTCGCTTACTGGGTAGTTTATCGCGCGTTGGACAAAACGGTAGGTTAATGTGCGCGTCGTGAAGATATTCTGGGTATTCTAAATCTACCTCGAGAATGTAATCGATAGGCGAATCCAGTGGTGTTGCGTTTATGTTATAATTGGACACGTCGACGATCCATCGAAAATTTGCGTAAGGCAATGATTGATACATTGTCCAATCATACAAGTTGTTAACGTCAAAGTACATAAGGTACGACGATGGTTTCGATGGATATCATATGACTGCGTGTACTTGTTGTTAGCTCGCGCGTATCGGTTGGAACATTGACTTAGATCACCGCGTATACCGCATTCGATGAACATGACCATGTCGATGTCGATGAGCAGTTCGAAATTGACGCGAGTATGCTTCAATATTGCGTAAATGTAAATTTCCCACGTAAAATCCGATAAGGTATAATAGTACGCAGGATCGAGTCCATAACTCGCGATGTAACTATCACGAAAATTTTCAAAAATATTAGCCAACAATAAGATGTCAATCTTGAGGTATAAATCGCTGTATTCGCCAAGCATTCGGATGGAGAACCGCTGCCATACGTTGTGCGTGCGCGTAATCGCTCTCGGACACGGTGTCACCTGTCAATGAACTGTAAAATGATTCGCGTGATGGTAAACAAACTCCTTCAACTTTTCGACGCAGTCAATATACTTGTATGGAAAGATGCCTTTTCGCATCAGTAAATTAAAATCTTGTGTCGATAAATTTTGAAACTCGCATTGCAATATTCGTAGCTTATCTTTACTCAAGAAGGATGCCATTTTGTCGAGACTGGTATTGAGAAATTTGAATGAATCAATAAATCGTAATTTAACACAATTTTTCTGATCATTTTTGTCTTCCGCATCTTTGACATTTCTTGTAAACGAAATGTATTTTTCTTTTGTTATGGGAAGTAATTCTACTCGTCCTTCATATGCTGTAGCTATTTTCGTAATGATAAAATGCGCGTCATAGCCGGATAAATTGTGAAAAACTATAGAAATGCAAGTCTTTGTAATTTAAATTACAATTTAAATGCGCGGGATCTCTAAATCGATCGGTTAGATGGCAATGATCGCGTACCCGCGTGTCATCTGGAGCGAACGGGTTTTCGCACACATGATAGTACGTAGCGTTATTAAATTTTTCCTCTTCTCGCGTAAAATTTGCCATAGGGATATTAGCGGACAAAATAGTCTTTACGCGATGCGCTAAACTTCTGAGTTCCTCGGCAAACCACACGACGCAATCCTTATCGCGACGAAACCGTATGTGGATAGTGAGTTATCATACGAGCAGCGTACATAATATCCTATGCTAAATACCCGATGGTCCTGGTACGCGTAGCTTGATATTTTCAGATGTCCATTTTCCATCTTTTCAGGATTCCAAGTCCGCGTACACGACAAACGGAACTCGTTCTTTAGTGCTATAATTATTGAAACTGAGCCACTTGTTGTCCTCACTCGGTAATCTGATGGCACAGTCATTCATGTCTGTACAGTCTATGATGTGAGCCTCCAATTTTTCACTCATGCTAAAATAGTGTAAACATCTGCAAGAAACATAATTATTTTAGTTTTTTTTTAAACGAGTATAAAATATTTCTCAACTTATTAAAATATGTATACTTACCGGTCACAAAAAAATTTCCTGTGTTCTTTTTTGAGTTGCGAGCCTATGAGGCGAGAAAGATTCTTGAGCCATACGAAATATCCCGCGTTATCGTCCCGCGGATCCTGCACGTACAGCAGATTGACATGCTTTCCCTTCTTTGTATTGGTAAGACGTGTCGGAAAGATCGAAAGTTCTTTCTTCTTTTCGATGCAGTATACATTTATGGATATGTTATTGAGAAATTCAAACTTTTTAATTTGGTCCAATGTCATCGGAAACTCAATGTTTTAAAAATTGAGTACCGACATATAATGTGGATACGAGGATTCTCGTTCTGTGTTTCTTTCAATTGGATGCAGAGCTGCGATCACTGACCATGCAAAACACGCATTGTCCGTAGACGGTCGTTGATCACCGCTCTCTTCATCATAATTTCTCGCAGTAACTGAATGTAACATTCCGCGTGCAGAGGATTGTGTTTGTTTATATTAATAATCAAATTGAGTCTACGCGATAATGCCCACCCGCTATCGCGTTCCTGAAATTCTTCCAGGGATGCCAAGGTAGGCTCAATAACGCGCAACTCGTACCACTCCTGTAAATTGGACGAACGAAAGAATTCACAGTTTCTCGTGTTGACTTTTATTTGCACATTTGTCATTCGCAACAAATTCACCGTTAAATACTGTATTCATCTTAATATTGTTATGTTTCTGCATGATATTTTGCACACGCTCAAACACAATGTTCTTCGCATCCTCGAGAAATTGGCGAGGTTCGATGTGCTTCGTATTAATGACCGCATCAGTCAAAATACGGCTTTCAAACGCCGCATTAATCTCGCGCCATCTGAGGCTGTGCTGTATCTAGCACCCGCAGTCACGAATCGTTGGCATATCGAATCTTTCAAACTTTCGAGTCGCGCTATCCGTGCGACCAATGATTGTCTAATATTAATTGATAATTGCGGCCGTTTAATTTGACCATGCTCTTCTAGCGACTTAATATACTTGTCGCATCGTTGCTCCTACGCGACGTACTCTTCTCTCGAATTCAATCAGATAGATTGTTCCAAAAGAATACATTCGGTTTGCTCCATATTAATTATCTTCTTTGATGTATAACTCTCAACAATCTTACAATTCGACTAATGACAGAACGTGTCACAGTCTTTTCTATTATATCTTACCAATGATGGTTATATCTTTAGAATATTTTTTTTTTAAATATTTCGCATGTGGCATTTAATTTCGGAGTGTATCAAATGATGTATAAAGATTTTATTCTTGACTTATGTGAAAATGCAACAATTGCGTTTTTAACACAATGATCTCATCGCAGGACACGTTGTGACGTGCCTATTGTTCTTAATATCATATTTCATACCATTTTAACCTACGTGAAAGTTTAACCTACGTTGCAAGTTTGTAATTTTAACACGTGTCCGATCTCATCGCGAAAAACATCAATTGTTTTTAAAAAATATATATTTCGTACCGTTGACCTATGTGGATTTGCAAATTTGCAATTTTAATACGTGAGGTGATCTCATTGTGATATGATAAAGATATACGCGAAATTCATTGCAGCAGCCATATATTGCTAATATTACTGCAAATGTTGCAGTGTCTACAGTTATATCATATATCGAATGATGTACGTGCTTAAAGTAGATTTATTCTGTATAATTTCATCGCAGCTACCATTCGTCGGCGCTTATGCAAAAATGCAAAGTTGCAAATTTAATGGGAGTTATATTTCACATCTCGCAGTAGACCGTCGGAAAAAGAATAGAGAGGTATACAAATTAAAAAGAACTTCAACAATCAATTATTGCATTAATCGCTTTGTGAAAGACGAACTATATCTCTGTAAAAAGAAACAGCTCTTGAAAAAATGTACAAAGGAAACTCTGTGAATTATTACACTTCGATTCAACAGAATGAGGCGTATAAAAAACAGTAAATTTCATTACCACAATTCTTTCTTATACATTTTATATATTTTAATATATTAATAGCTTATTTATATGTATTCTTTTCCTTACAGTATATCTTCTCATAATTCATCATCTTCGGAACCTTGTACATCTCGTATCTTGGGAAGAAGATTTGCTTTAACATCCACAGCTTATAAATATTTGGATATTGGAATCAATGTGGGACCTGTATCCTATGTGGAATTACGTATTGGTGATAATCGAGGCAATCAAATATTATT